AATTAAAAAAAAAAACCAAATGACCTTTTTCCTTAAAAAGGCGCCCTGGGATCTATTTCAAAAAACAAACCCAGCGAGGAGACGTTTAATATTCATCCTCGACCTTTTCCCCCCAAAAAAATTAACCCAAATTTTAGCTGCTTGAGGCTGATTTGCCCCAAAACACCCTCGAGGGGATGCTCTGCGGGGAGGAGGGATGCCCAAGCTGCCGAAAGGGTCCCTCGAGGGGCAGGGATGCTAAAAATGGAAGCCGGGGGTGTTTTTTTTCCCTGGTTTTTGGGTTTTTTTGGTTTTTTTTTTTGGGTCCAATATTGGCTCTTTAGTGTCGTTAACGCTCATTAATTACTCTTACCCTAATCAACCTCTTTATATTTCACCCCTGGGGTTCCCTCGTTTCTTCCCGGGTTGGGGGGGGTCAATAATTGCCCAAACCCTAAAAAACTGTGGGTTTCTCAAATCATAACTCCCCGTTCTTGTGCTTTTGGGGCGGGGGGGAGGCAAAAATTGGGGAATATTCCTTATTTTACCCCCATTCCCCTTCCAGGGTGTGAGAAAATAATTGTGGGAACTGCAAATTGAAGCTGAATGGTGTGAAAAAGGAGGTTTTTGGGGGTTTTGTGACCCAGAAGGAGCTTTGGGGTCAAATCCTGGCTCAGGGTTTGGGGCTGAGAGCTCGGCTTTTCCCTGAGCTGCTCTAGATCCCAGGAGGGTAATTCCAGGGGGGGATAAAGGGGTGTTAAAGCTCCTTCGACCTCAGGGGAAAAAAAAAAAAAAAATTAAAAAAGAGGCGTAGCGGCGCGTGATCTTGAGGGCCGGGTGCTTGGGCCCGAAGACGTCGAGCAGGAAAGCCGAGAGGCTGCAGAGGATCCCCAGGAAGCAGAAGGCGGCGATGACCCGCAGCAGCAGCACCGTCTGGGGGTTCATGCAATAATCTGGGGGGGGGGAAAGAGGGGGGAGGAGGAAAACCAGGCACTGAGCACCGGAAAAATGCCTCTTTTCCACCCAAATCCCTCCCCAGAGCAACCGGTATCGAGACTTTTTTTTTTTTCCTCCTTTTTTTCCTTTCTTTTTCTCCTCTTTTCCTTTCCATCCTTCCTTTCCTCTTCCTCTCCCCCTTTCCTTTCCTCCTTCCCTTTTCCCCTTTCTCTCTTTCCTCCTTCCCTTTTTCCCTTTCCTTCCTTTCTTCCTTCCCTTTCCTTTTTTCCCCTTTCTCTCTTTCCTCCTTTTCCCCTTCCCTCCTTTTCCCCTTCCCACCCTCTTCCCTTCCCTTTTCCCCTTCTCTTCCTCCCTTTCCCTATTCCTTTTCCTTTTTTCCCCTTTCTCTCTTTCCTCCTTCCCTTTTTCCCTTTCCTTCCTTTCTTCCTTCCCTTTCCTTTTTTCCCCTTTCTCTCTTTCCTCCTTTTCCCCTTCCCTCCCCTTTTCCCTTCCCCTCTTCCTCTTCCTCCCCTTTTCCCTTCCCCTCTTCCTCTTCCTCCCCTTTTCCCTTCCCCTCTTCCTCCCCTTTTCCCCTTCCCCTCTTCCTCTTCCTCCCCTTTTCCCCTTCCCTCCCTTTTCCCTTCCCTTTTCCTCCTCTCCCCCTTTCCTTTCCTCCTTCCCTTCCTCTCTTTCCCTCTTCCTTTCCTTTTCCCCTTTCTCTTTCCTCCTTCCCTTTTTCCCTTTCCTTCCTTTCTTCCTGTGCTTCTCCTTCCTTTCCTTTTCCTCCTTTTCCCCTTCTCTTTCCTCCCTTTTCCCCTTCTCTTTCCTCCCTTTTTCCCCTTCCCTTCCCCCCCTTTTTCCCCTTCCCTTCCCCCCCTTTTTCCCCTTCCCTTCCCCCC